ACATCATGCTACAGTATTTTCTGAGGCCTTGGAATGCATGGCTTTACCATTTTTCCTTATGGTACTTTGCCCTCTGGAAAGGACTTTGTGAGTCTAGAGTCACAGTGAGAAGGCCAGGTTTGAATGGGAGAGCCCCACTGAAAGGAGCCAGGTATAGATTTCAGGAATGCATAGTGTCAGTTACTGGTGGTCAATTTAGGAAAGGAGGATGTGTGGGAAGCCTGAGAGGACATGGTGTGGATAAAGGAGAAGTAGTAAACTTGAAAAGCATCCCCAGGTGACAGTTGATGTATCAGTTGATGCACAGCTGAAAGCAGAAAATCCCTATAAAGACAGAAATATCTATTTATTCACTAGACAATAAGTCTTGTGGTGTCAACTGTGTAAGAAGCACTGCACTAGGTGATGGGGAAGTAGCAGTGAATCAAACAAATAGGTCAACAAAAACATGGTCCCTTGAACCAATGAAGCTTAAAGTGCAGTGCAAGAGTTTTTGAGCCAATGACACAAAATTTGAGACCAAAAAGGTAAGTAGACATTTAAAGGACAAATACAAGAATAATATTAAGGAGGGAGAAAGAGAATATTACATATCAAGACTCTAAAAAGTTGAATGTTAGACATGGTAGAAGAAAGAGACTAGGTAGTATGGGTGGACAACGTTGTATTAGTCATACATATCTTTTGATATTATGTATACACTTATATATTCTCTGTATTCTTTTGTCCCTCAGGATTAATATTTTGCTATTGTACTTGACATAAAAGAAAACACTTATTTAAAATTTATCATTTGCTACATTTTTACATAAATATTCATCATGAAAACCTCATCCTTGAGACAATGAACATATCTATAACTCCCCAAAGTTTCTTCATATCACTTTGTGTCTCTTTCCTCCACTCCTCCCTACTCCTGACTCCAGGTGTCCAGTTACATGCTTTCTGCTACTACGTGTTAGTTTAAAATTTCCAGTTTTATATAACTGCAGTAGCACAACATGCACCTTTTTCTTGTCTGACTTATTGCACTCAACCTAGTTATTCTGAGATTCAGGTGTAGAATTGCTTATATCACTAATCCATTCCTTTTTATTGCTAAGTAAGATTCCCTTATATGGCTATACCACAGTTTTTTTTATTATTTTCCTGGTAGTGGGCCTTTGGATTATTCCAGATTTTTTTTTTTTTTTTTTTGCTATTGCAAATAAAGCCACTATGAATTCTTATGTACATAATGAACATATGCTTTCATTAGTCTTGGGTAAATACCCAAGAATGGAATGGCTGTGTCATAAGGTAGATATGTGTTTAACTTTATATTAAACTACTTTTTTGGTGGTTATACCATTTTTCATTTCTACCAGAAGTACACGAGAATAGAAATTGTTCACACCCTTGGTATGGCCAGCCTTTAATATTAGTCATTCTGTTAGTGATGCCTTATATCTCATTATAGTTCATATTTCAATTCTATAATGACTAATGATGTTAGGCATCTTTTTTATGTATTTACCATCTGTATATCTTTGAAGAAGTGTTCATTCAAATATTTTGTCTATTCTTAAATTGTGTTGTTTGTCTTCTTACTGAACAATAAGAGATTCTTACATATTATAGACACAACTCTATTGTTGAGTACATATTTTGCAGAGTTTTTTTTCCCCAGAATTTCCCTGTTTTTTTTTTCCTTTCATTTTCATTTTTTTCCTTTTCATAATGGTCTTGAAGATTAAAGACTGTGAATTTGGACATAGTTCATTTTATTGATTTAAAATTTTTTATAGCTCCTATGTTTTGTGTTATAGTTAAGAAATCTTTGTCAAACCCATGATTACTAAGATTTTCTTGTACATTTTCTTCTAAAAGTATCATAGTATGAAATATTATATTAAGGTCTGTTTTTCATCATGAATTTATATTTGAAGAAGCTATGAAGTCAGGGTCAAGGTTCATTTTAGTGGCTATGGGTACACTATTATGACAATATCATTTTTTGAAAATATCCTTTCCCATTGAATGCCTTGGCATCTATATCAAAAATCAACTGGCCACAAATGTTCGCATAAATTTCTGGACTCTTTTGTTTGTTCCATTGATTTATCTGTCTATAAATAGGCCAATACTATATTGCCTTGATTACTATAGCTTTATAAAATGTCTTGGGATAAAGTAGTTTGACACCTTCAGTGTTGTTCTCTTGGTTATATATAAAAAAATTGTTTTGGCTACTCTAGATCTTTTGTATTTCTATAGAACATTTAGAATCATCTTATTGGTTTTTACAACAGCAAAATGCCTCCTGAGATTTTAAATAGAATTTCACTCAATCTATCCATCAAATTGAGAAGGTTTGACATCTTAATAATATTGAGTCTTTTAATTCATGACCATGTTTTTATCTTTCCATTGATTTCGGTTTTAAATTATTTCAATAACATACGGCAAATTTCAGTGTATAGACCTTGTGTATCTTTTGTCAGATTTATCTCTGTGTACTTTGTATATATTTGATGCTTCTGTAAATGATACCTTAATTTCAATTTCTGATTATTTGTGGCTTTTAAATGGGCATACATTTAATTTTTATTGTTTATCCTGCAACTTCGTATCATGAAAGCTTGCTAAGCTTACTTATTAGTTACACTAGCTCTTTGTAGATTCCATAAGCTTTTCTGCATAGATGATCATGTTGTCTGAGAACAAAGATCATGTTCCTTCTACTTTCCCAAAATCAATGACTTTAATTTCTATTTTTGCCTAATTCCATTAACTAAACCTCCAGTACAGTATTGAATAGAAATAGTAAGAGTGGATATTTTTGCTGTATCTTCCCCTGATCTTAGCAGAAAAGCATTCAGTCTATTACAATTAGGTATAGATGCTGTATAGATACTCTTCATCAGGGTGAAGAAGTTCCTTTCTAAGTTTTTGAGAGTTTTAATAAGAAATAAATGTTAGATTTTGTTAAGTAATTTTCCCCTGTATTCTGATAATTAAACAATTTTTTTCTTGACGGTTAAAATTGTGAACACATTGATCGATTTTACAATATTAAACCAACCTTATATTCCTTGTATAAACCCCGCTTGGTCACAGTGTATTACTTTTAACATCTTATTGGATTTTATTTTCTAAAATTTGTTAATGATTTTTGCATATCAATGTAGGATATATGTCAATAAGTTACTTTCTTTTTATGCCTTTGGTTCTGGTATAAAGATAATGCTGGTATCATAGAAACAACTGTAATGTTTTCCCTTTCCTTCAATTTTAAGTGATGAGAAGACCCCGGGATGAGGGAAGAGAGTGGGACCCAAGGAATCAGTCTTTAAGAAAAAATATAGTACTTTTTTCAATTAAGTCATTCTCTCTCAGGGTGCATGAGAAACACCTGAAACTTTCATTCAAGTAAAGATTTTCATTTAGAAGGTCCAATATGGATACCATACCATGTTGGCATTAACAACAACAAAGAAATCTCCCTTGTTCTTACATGGTTGATCCGTGTTCCGAAGATTTTTAGTTATTCAGTGGTTCTCAAATATGTTTCACAGGCCAGCATCAGAATCACCTTGGAACTTTTAAGAAACTGCAAATGTTCCATCCCCAGTTCATACCTGCTAAATCAGTAACTCTGGGAGAGAAAGTAGGTGGCCATCTGTCCTTCAGTAGCTCTCAAGGGGACTCCAATATATAGTAAAGTTTGAGAGGTACCGCACTATGTAAAGAAACAAAAGGAATAGATACAGATGCACTTAATTTTGTATATTTTGTGTTATAAATAGAGATGATTTATACTATGCTGACTTCCTTTTCTTTATATATATGGAAAATCTGAAAGTGAGAGAAGGGAGAGTAAGTCAAATGTTTGAATAGTACGCTGAAGTTATGGGTAATCAGGAAAATGCAGAAGCAGGCTGATGCGATTGTTAGTCACTATCAGCTATCTACTTAAGCAATGCTCTTGTCAACTGTATTGATGTCCTTCTTCCCAACTGTACAATCTTCTCTCCCAATTCTAAGCTGCTCAAGGGAGAGGTATGAAGAAGGCAGTTTCTTGGATTTGTATGCAGTTATTTTGCCAAATGGGTAAAAGGGAAGAAAAAAGAGATATAGTAGCTGGGCATATTTGCAAGAGAGTGAATGACTGTAATCATGGATCATAGTCTCTATGCCGTATAAAGAAAGAAAATGAAGACAAGAGGAGGATAATTAACAGAAAGTTCTGAGATCTATAGATAAAAAGGTCTGATGAGCTGGAAGATCTGTTTCAGTAGACATATTTCAGAAATGATCTGGGATTGTGAATGGTAATGGCTAAAAAGTAGCATGCTTATATTTGAATTCTTGAGTGTGTGTGTGTGTGTGTGTGTGTGTGTGTGTGTGCATGTGTGTGTGATAAGAAGCTATCAGATATGACCTTGGTAATAGAGGTTGAGATTACTGTGCCAGATCATTGGTATTGAGGAAGTCAAGAATTGGGTGAATAAATATTCACACACATATTGAAGTTGTCTGTCATTAGTGATGTGAATCATAGTAGTGAATGGATGAATGGGAGACAGACAGAGAAGGACCAAATCAGAAAATACAGTGGCATCAGTATCACATAAAATAAATTGGAAGCCATCACTGGCACAGGAAAATTCTGATGGACACATATTTCTCTAGAAGATTATTTTAGGCTCCACTATAATTTCAAAAATGTATGTCCCAGTATGTGCTAAATTTGTAGAATGTCTCTTGATAATAAGATTCATAATTATGATATCTGTACTTGATCAAAAATATACATGCATATTCAAAAAATAACCAGCTAGCCTGTAGACAATTGCAAAGAAATTGAATCATAATAACTTCCTTATGTTTTTCTATTCATGACAGGGACAAAAAAGTTTGCTCTGAAAAGCTCCTACCAACTCAGAAGTACAAGGATGAAAATTATCTCTGCCGTACCCTGCTAACATCCATTCTAATTCTGTTTTTCAAATTCACAGAGAGTGAAGAAGTTTATCAAAGGCAGGTGCTGTCAATTTCATGTATCATCTTTGGAATTGTCATCGTGGGCATGTTCTGTGCAGCATTCTACTTCAAAAGCAAGTAAGACCATTTCTCTCAAGTGTTAAAAGGTTACGTCTCAGAGAAAGTACTTTGTCTTTCTTTAACTTCACAGTCTCTGCTCCAGGCAGAGGCATCTTGTGCAAACGGGCCCATCAAGCATCTATAAATGACTTAGAGTCTTTTACAGACTGTGGGGAATATAGGCAGCATGTGCATACATGCATGTGTGTGGTTTGTCTTTGGTGCATATAGCAATTATTCCTTTCTGTGATCATGAACATTCTGTGTTCTTTGCATTTTTTGATGGTCTGTCAGAAGTAAAGGCTTGGTGTCTTCCTGCCACTAAGGGGTTAACACTTCTGAACAGAGAAGTCACTGGTGTAGACCTAAATATTATCAACAAATATCTGTCCTTTACTGCAAAAATACTCCACACTTTCCTTTCATAGTATTTTTACCTGATACCCATAAAGATTTCAGCCAAATGTGAAGTCTGAATACTGTAAGATCTACCTTGGTTCACTAGTTGGTAAACATATCTCAAATATGCCCTATACTTCCCCTGTTAAGAAACTAAAATTTCTGGGGTACCTTCCTGCTCAGTTAGAAGACCATGTGGCTCTTGATCACAGGGTGGTGTGTTCAAGCCCTACATTTGGTGCTAAGATTAGTTAAGTCAATAAATACATAAACTTAAAAAAAAAAAAAAGAAACCAAAACTTCTGCTTAAGGTGCTTATTTTCTTATTTTTGACTAATAACATATAATAAAATATACACATGCCTAAATAGGCATACAAATATATTTATTCCGGGGGCGCCTGGCTGGCTCAATCGGTTAAGCATCCAACTTCGGCTCAGGTCATGATCTCACAGCTGGTGAGTTTGAGTCCCGTGTCGGGCTCTCTCTCAAAAATAAACATTAAAAAAATTGAAAATATATATATTTATTCCAAACGAACTTTGATAAAGGTATTTTATTTCTGGAAATTTTATTTAAGTCATGCAAGCCTTAAGAAGTTGGCACAGATTCTGTTCCTACAGCTTGTCTGAAATGCAAGCCAATGTGTAATTGCTTTTCATTGGACCTATATTTGTCTGCCCATTTGCTCTTCTAAAAATGGATCCATTTCCAGATATAGTCTCTGACACCTGTCTGCATGTTGTATATGTTGATCTTTAAAAAGAACAGAAATTATGATTTTTAAAAATAATAGAAACTCGGGTATGAATCCATAGTTAGTAACTATTATTTTTTTAATAAACTGTTTCAGAATAGGCTTAGATTTTTAGAATTACTGTGAAAATAGGACAGATAGATCCTACCTATCCCAGACCCAGTTTCCCCTAATATTAATGTCTTATATTAGTATGTTGCATTGGTCACAATTAATGAAATAGTATTGATACTATATTACTAACTGAAGTTCATACTTTCAGATTTCCTTAGTTTTTACTTAATGTGCTTTGTTCCAGGCCCCCATCCAGGATACCATATTTGTCACATCTCCTAGGCAACTCTTGGCTGTGACAGTTATTAGTGTTCATTTTTGAGAACTTACTCTTTGTCAGGGACACTGGGCTTTTCATGTATTATCTCCCAATTCTCACAACAATTCAAATTGTTCATTATTGCTGCATTGTTCAAATAATAACAGAATTTAATTTTAAAATATTAATTTGTCAAAGCCACACAGTAGGAAATTACAGATGGGGTCTTTGCATTTCTGCAGTTCTAGGTGAAATTGCATGCTCTAAGCCACTCTACCACGTTGGGCCCCACAGTCCTCCCACTAGATGGTGGAAGGTGAAACTGCTAAGGGTGAATCAGGAATATCATGCCCTGGTGCAGCCCATCATGCTTTATGTTCTCTAGGGAGCTTACATGGTGTTTGGTCAGGATTTTAACATGTGTTCACTCAGACCTGTATTCAAGTCATCAGGCTGCCACTTGCTTGTTACATATTATTAGGCAAATTGCATCTAGTTCCTTAGCCTCAGGCTCCTTGTTTTGGTAAAATATGGCCAAAAATAATATTTGCCTTGTAGAATTTGTTAGGGATTCACGGGATAACACCACAAGGAGCACAGCACAGTGTTCAAAAGAGTAAGTACTCAGTGAAGGCGTGCTTTTGTTAACACCTGCAGTTTCCCACACCGGAACTTAGAGGCTGGGTAACTACAAGATGAAGAGCAGGCAGTGGCCCAAGACTGGTAATCACACTCAGCAGGGCGTTAGATAGAAGGGTCTCCTCGAAAGTGCTGCGCAGGGGAAAGAAGTTGTGTATTTAACAATAAGCAAATTGCCATCAAGTGGTAGTTAATCACTTATTTTTATGATTTGTATTTGCAACACATTTAGACAAAAAACTGATGATAGTCACAAGAACGGAGAGCAGCTGGGTAACGAGGGAACCTCCATCTTCATGGCTGTCATGTCAATCTCTCCCTCTTTAGGCAGCACGTGGGCTCTGACACGAACACCTCCTCCCGGAGCTCCGTGCAGCGTCAGGGTTTAATGGAAACACTGTTCAACATCATTCATTATGGGGGACTCAGAGAACTGACCCAGTGGAGGAACACTAATTAGAATGTTGTCTTCCTGCCTGCCCAGCTGGGACACATGTTTTGTTAAAAATTAAATAAATAAGAAACTGTGAGAATAATAAAGTAATAATAAGAATTGAAGCCTTTTCCAAGTGGAGTTATATTTCTCATTAGAGACCTAGACTGTATTTCCTTCTAGCACAATTTCCAGGCAGGGTCTTCCTTTATTTTTCTTTGCCTGAGAGGAATACTATACCTCACACCAAGCATCTAATCTATATAGCTGAAAGCAATGTAAATTTTTATAACACATTGGCACATGTTTCTTTGCACTCATTCCTGAAATTCTAATTCTCATCCCTAGATCTTGGAGATAACAACACAGACAGACTCTACTCAAAATTTTCTTACTTTCACACATACTGTAACTTTGTTGACATGTGTGTCATTTGTTTGACTTCATCTTGGACATGCCAAGTCTTCTATGATTCTATGATCTCTCCATCATTGGTTTCTAAATAACTTCACTTAAACCAGCTTTCTATATACTGGGATATACAGGTCCCAGCCAGATAAAGTCAAGAGTTACCCAAAAGCTCACATTCTCTTGGTCATTGATGTTTTAGCTCCCATAATCTCTCAGATCCCACCACTCTGGTCCTTTGTCCATTGTCTTGTGAACCCTTGGTTTGGCATGACCTCTCCACATGGAATATTACAGTAAATTATTAGCGGATGAAAGCTTGAAGGTGGTTAACATGATGAGGTCAAAGTGATGAACACCTTGGATTTAGAGGATTTTCTGAGTTAATTGAACCGCAACGACTCTAAAGGACATAATGAAAGAAATTCTCTTCTCATCATACCTAATAAGTCCATATATTCCCATAAGTGATTAATGGAACTATTAGTTGACCTATTCAAAGCTGGCTGATAGGGCTCACATGGTAACTATAAATTCTTCTAGGTTTCTTTTTATGTTCAACTCATATGGGTAAGAAGAGTGAGGCTGCCTGTAGGAGTCCTTAGTAGACTTTGGAAGTACAAAACACAATTTAACTCTAAAAAACAGAATTGGGATAGGAGAGGAGATGTTCCAGCAGACAGAAGCTGAGACAAATAATGATAACAACTGAGAAACACAGAAGGAAAAAGGAGAACCGGTGCTCCCAGTAAAACCCAGCCCTAACTGTAGGTTATGGCCCTCTGAGGTCAAAGATTTTAGCAACAAGGGAAGCCCATTAAGGACAGGCGGTGGATGCTCTGATATGCAGCTTCGATTCTCTTCGGCAGTGAAGATCTTTGTCCTCCAGTTGCTAAAACAAATATAATCAAAGTTGCCTTGCTCTGACCCGAGAGAGCCCACCTCCAATGACAGGTCAGTGTAAGGCTCTGAAGGCCTAGACCTTTGCCCCAATTTGGAGTACAAGGCCATGCCAATTTCAGACCCTCTCCCCCCACCATGGGATTTGCTGAGCTCTTCATGGAGACTGCATTATGTTCCAATCTCTCCCTCGGCCCAGTCCTGCATCCCTCCCTTTGCTTCCACGGGTGTGGATCCAAAGAGCACCCCCCCCCAATAAAAATCCTGCATGCTATCTCCATCTCAGTGCCTGCTTCCCTGGGAGCCCATTCTGCAACATTACAAATAATGCCTAGACTTGTGATACCTGACATTCCACAACTTACATCTCATTGCTGAATGAACTGGACCAGAGAAACTTAAAACTCAATGGACTATAAAATGTTAACACTGACATTGTTAGGCTAGCAGGGTCCCAGTGTGCAATGCCCATATCTTGTCTTTCCTAGAGCACTGACTCTCATGAAGAGAGCAAATGGAATTGTGATTAGACGCTTCTCATCTCCCAGTTCCCATTTGTTGGGTGAAGGAGGAAAGAGCAGAAATATGTGTGTTTGGGGCAGAGTAGGGATGACAGAGAAGGAAGCCAGTTCAGAAAGGAAAGAAAGTCTGTGTATCCTGGAATATTAGTGAGTCAAGAGTGAATGAGTGAGAAGCCAGTACAGAAAAGCAAATTATAAAAGGATTTAGGAAATTGCAGTCAGATATTTTTATAAGGAAAATTCCTTTTCAAGTTGGCATTTCCCAGACACTGAATTATAGAATTACTGAAAAGATTGTTAATGTTTCTACTATTTCATCCTTAGGAGAGTAACTGAGTCCTTCCTCTGTGCCAAGCCCCCTTTTACTGCCTCACCAATGATTTACTTAGGTAGAATCACCTGATCTGTTTCCTTCATCAATGAATCCCTGGTGGGATTTTGTGGCTATAACATGCTTCATAAAATGCTGATATGATACATTTATTTTGAACAATAGGCTACAGATTAGCTGTCAGGAAATAGGTAGATTATTACAACTAGATTAAAGCAACTAGAAGTACTGGAGATAAAAGTCCCCCAAACAATTGAAAATAAAAAAGAAATATTTAAACAAACAGAGCTACATCACACTGGTGTTGTAAATTCAGAAGAGTTAATGATGCTCAGAGCCTCCAATTCAGGTAGCCAATACTGTCAACTTGCTTGTGAGCAACGCAATTAATACAATCCTTTCTTTTATCTTTGAGTCAGTGTTCTAATTCCCCTGTAGGATCTGTCCATCCAACTAAGCTTGCTAAATATGAGAAGGGGAGCAGATCAGCACTTTACAGGTGTTCTCACATTTAGTTTCCACAGTGTCCGTGGAAGTTGACTTTTACAACTGCATGCACAGATGAGGAAACCAAGGCTCAGAGAAGTTTAGGGAAACAGTCAGTTTGATTTAGGAAATCAAAGCAAAAGTGGTGGGTGGCAGAGGGTCCCACCCCTGGGACAGCCAAGGTGGGGGGTCCCACCCTTCTGACAGCCAACCCCATTCTCTGTAGAGTGCTGCCTGCCAGCACAAGCTCACTGCAGGAGACAGTACTCACACTCCACCAAAGGCTCTATCCTTCACAGGGATCTTGGGAAGAGGAAGAAGTTCGGGGTGGGGGAGGGGATGATTCTGCAAAGTGTGTGTGTGTGTGTGTGTGTGTGTGTGTGTGTGTGTGTGTGTTGTGGATACTGAGTCTTCTGCTGATAGATAGTTGCTGTAAAGCCCTTGGAAGAGAGCAGCTAACAAGGCAGGAAATTGCTGCATCCTTCTGATGCAGCCACTGCCTGACTTAAACAACAGTCACCCCACATATGCAGGCAGGAGTACCTCACTCAGAGTCCAGAGATCGAGAGCAATCTCAGCCTTCCCACTGAGAAGCTGTGGGACCATGGCAAATGGTTTGACAGTCCCAAGTGGTGGTTGAGGTTACACAGTATGCAACCAGCTGGGCTGGACTCACATCCAGCTCCAACACTTACTAGCGATATGACTCTGGGAAAATGATTTCACTTCTCTGTGCCTCAATTTTCTCATCTGTTGAATGAGTATAGGTTCCTGCCTCATCACACAGAATTACTATGAAGAGTAAGTGGGCTCATACACGGAAAGCACTTAAAATGATGCGTGGCACATAGTAGGTGGTCTTTCAAGAGTTAACTATTTTTGCTGTGATTTACCAGCTGGAAATAAAAATCTTCACATTTGGGACTAATGGTAACAATAAATGAGCGGTTTCTGAACTGCAAGAGAAAACATACACAATACAGTATATAAGTAAGCTATGCAATCAAGCTATGCATGCTTATAAATGTAAATATAACAAATATAAATGTAACTCTGCAAGTATGTTATATGTGGCTGGTAGCTCTAAGCTTCAAATTTTTCCCCTAGTTACTTCTTCAGAGCATTTCTAATTCTTTACAGCTGAGCACCAAGGGTTAGGGACCTCTGCATCCATGCGGCCCAGAAAAATTCATTATGCTTATCCCTGCCTTTGGAGTGCTATTGGGTGTGAATCTCCGGGTGTTTATGGATAATACCAGTTTCTTTCCAGATTAGAAGCTATCTAATGGGGTTGGCGTGTTGAAAATGAAGGAAGGCTTTCCTTTATTAACTGAGTTCATCCAGCTTTAACAAATGACAAACATACATGTTGGGAACAAATGAACCCCCCAAATACAAACAGAATAAATTTGTGTAACTATTTATGCATGTATTTATTTAAACCTGCAGGAAACAAGCTAAACAAATTCAAGAGCAGCTGAAAGAACCACAAAATGGTAAAAACTACAGTCTCAAAGCATCCAGCACAATGGCAAAGTCAGAGAACTTGGTGAAGAATCATGTCCAGCTGCAGAGTGTAAGTTACCTGTCTATACATCTGTTCCTACAGCCCGTCTCAGTGTTTCCAGTTCAGGGGGGATGGGATGCTTGGGATCAGATGTGTGTGTTCTTTTCGGTATTTGTAGATTTTTCTTTAAGTCACTTTGCAGTTCTGTGTGTGTACATGTCCACGTGTACAGGCTGAAACAGAGAAAACTTAAATCTCAGCCCTTGATTATATTCTGCAATATAAATTCATCTCTGAAAGCAAAAAGAGCTCCAGTTGTTTGTTCCATAATGACTTATTACATTCCTACTGTGTCAGAAATTGTGCTGGGCACCAGGGATACAATGCTCCCTACCTTATGGGAACTTATCTGTGGTAAGGGACACAGACGCCATAACAGAGGAGGTATGTGGGCTGAGATGGTTGACATTGCAGTAGGTTGGAGAGTAGACCAAAGAGAGGGAGGGAGATGGGTTGGTGCAATGTTCATCGTATAGTCAAAGAGCAAAGGACAAGAGACTAGAAAAAAACAGAAAAAGTAAAACCATGGAATCCCAAGAACGTGTACTATATTCCAGCAACTCCAAGGTAAGGGGTGAAAGAGAGGTCAAAGATAAGACAGGTGGGAAGTGAGACTTGTATTCCCACAGTCAGTGCTTCCTAATACCAGGGCTTAAATGGATACCAGAATTTGAAATACAAGCTCTCTGAATCTTACATTCTTTCTAATGTTATCATAATCATTTCCGAGATATATTGCAAAACACTTAATTAACGACAAGCACATATCATCTAAGACATACTGAAATATTCCTCTCAGGGTAGCAAATTCTTTGCCCCTGTATAAGATTGCACATCCAGATTCCGAGACACAAAAGGAAAAAAAGCCATGGTATAAACCTAGGATTTGAGTATAATAAGCAATCATCCAGGACACATTCATGCCCCTCCCAATGCATAAATCACTGAGAATTTATACATCATTTGTGATTCTAAAAAATCATTACCCAAAAGTCACCATTATGTTATGCATAACAGATGTACTTAGATGTTTAATGTGGAATTCATAAATCAGAATTGCTTCCCAGCCAAATTTTGTTAAACTTATAATCATAGTTATGTGGGGACTGTTCTCTGAAACAGAGCGAATGTTTCTGCTAATGATTTTTGAGTATTATCTCACTGCCCTAAAACAAATGCAGGAGCGGAGGCTTTCAAGTCCTCCTTTGCAACTGGACCTGCTGAAGATAAACAAAGCCAGCCACTGGTTAAAATAGTAAGGCAGGTTTTAATCAGGAATAGACTATTGCATTATGAAAGAAGGTCCAGCATGAACTGAACTCAACTTCAGTTTGTACAGAGGTGACTGGTTGTTTCAAAGGGAGAATGAGGGAATGGGGTGGGGAGCAGAAACCGTGGGGTCTTGGCAGAGTCAGGGAAGTGAAACAGTACAGAGATGATCAGTGTGCATGTCAGTTTCATCTGTTAGCTGGCAGTTAATTGAGCTTAGGATTCTGTACTTCCACAGAGCGGAAGGCTGACATGCTATCCTTCCTAATGATTACGTTTCAAAGATATGGCTTTCAGGTCCCTGAGAAAGAAACTCCCTTAGGAGTTTGTAGGAGATACACACACATCTCAGAATGACAAAGGGTGGTTTACAATTGTAAGTCCTTTTAAGGGAGGTCAGTGGCCTTTCCTCCAGCATTGGCTAGAGCTACCAGCAAATTCTTTTGGAGGCTTTGAGTTTTTGTTTTTGTTTTTGTTTCTTAGGCAGACTTTTTAAGGAAGATCAGGGCTATTCCAGGGGCAAAGCCTTGAACCTTTAGAGACTATATTAGAGTTTACTCAAGACTTTTAGTGCGGGGATGATTGAGTGAAGTCATTTGTGCTGGGAATCTGCAGTTTTGATAGGCCAAAGTTAAGGCCTAGTAGAAAAGAGGGCTCAGAGGAGCCTGTCTAGAGTTTGGTTGGGAATAGTCTCGGTCAGTCCTGATGGATTTTACAGGGTTGCAGCGAGAGCACACACACAATTTTGTATCCTCTGTTTTCACCAAACAGATGATCAATAGCATTTTCTGTCTGCTTTATGCTCTCCACAAACTCATTTGGGAGATAGCATAATTGTCCACAAAGTGGCCACGTCACAATGTCCTCGTCCTTCCCTCCTTGTAGACATTCGTGTTCTTTCCTGTGGTTTACTATTAAGGGAATATTAAGATAAACTCCTCACTCATATGCTCCACCACCCCTCGTTTGATTGCAACTATTAGGATTAGAATAACAAGAAATTACAAAATGTAGAGGTTCCAAAACTTAAAAGATCTTTGGGCGCATTGGCTTTTAATTTCTTTTTTTCTCCCTCTTCTCCCTTCTCCAGCCCACCCATATCCACAATTTTGTATGTTGGCACAGGGAAGCAGACCGTGGGCTCAAGTGGATCATTCTCACAGGGCCTAAGATAAGATGTGGGAAAGTGTCTTTTTATATTCATCCTGTTTTGGATACAGAGAATATATATAGGACATTTTTTCCCTGAGTTGCAGTGTGGTCAGCTAGGACAATACATTTCAAGGGATCATGAGTTTTAGATTGGGCTGGGAGTGCAGGCAGAGAATAGATAGGAGAAGGAGGCATTTAAGGACTCTGAAAAAGGAGAGTGAGGTGCATTGAAGAGACACAGGAATGCTAGCCATAGCATTCTACGCTTTGCCAGCTTGGGCCCAAGGGACTGCCTGAGAAGGTCCCTTTAACCAGACTAGACTAGAATGAGTAAGTTGCTTTCCCAAAGGCACATATCAGTTTCAGTGCTAGAAAGTAACATGGGTCACTAGCAGCTTTGTTATACTTTGGTCAACATTTCTTTTGCTAACTTAATAGGAGAAAATATTTTCTGTTTTTTTTTTTTTTTCTAATTTACATTTAACTATTTGAGAGTGTAGTACAATCTCAGTCCATATATTTCTAGTCAAATTTCCAGTTTGATGAATTATGTCCATGCTGATACTCTTGCTCATAATTTTGTTGTAAGAATCAAATAGCAATTTGTAGTTTTTCTTGTCATACGTTATGGGAGAAAACAGTAATGGAGAGTATACATCAATAGTACGTTGAAAAGGAACAGAAACTTTTAAGATTTGCTTTCCTTCAATGTTATGCTCAAGATATACAAGGAGAAGTATACAAGGACATCTATACAGCTGGAGGCCAGGTAACTCTAGTCTTAGAGCAAGCAGTAATCTGATGTGTGGCTCAAAATTTCTGCATGAAAAGTAACAAGCAAATGTATTGAGGAAAACTTAATAAAGCAGTTTTTCTTTGTAGGTCCATATTTTTTTCTTCTGGCAAGATCTAGGAGGCAATACCAATGTCGATGTTAAAACCAAACAATGATAAATGAAATAGTGACAATCATAATAGCAAATAACATCTATTGAGTACATACACAGAATACTAAATAATAGAGAGACATTGACTCACTTAGTCCCAACAACGACTACTTAATTTACACCCACTATGTGCAGAAGAGGAAAATGGGACTCAAAGCTTAAGAAAGTTCGTCTCTATCAGACATCCACTGAGTAGCAGAAAGCCCATCTCACATCTTTATAACTCAGTGCTTTAACAGGGGGCAGTGTTGCCCCAGAGAACTTTTGGCAAAGACCAGAAAGACTTTGGGTGTTAAAACGTGAGAAGCATCTCTGAGCAGAGGGAAAAAGTGCTGATAAATATCCCACAATGCCCAGAAAATTACCCTTCCCAAATGTCAAGGGCAGTGAGGAAATCCAGAGTCCAAGGTCCAAGCTGCATGATGTGTCCCTTAGGAAATTCTGAACACCTAGCATAGGAATTCTATGGTTATTTCTACTACACAGAGGGTGCATGGGTTATCCAGGTACACTATAATCCTTGGAGGGAAAATTTCAGAGTAGGACACCATATCAGGCAAATCTGTCTTTATTTTATCTTGAATCCCTAGTTAACTACTTGAAATTCTTTGCAAATTGCAGTGTTTAACAAATGAATAGTCTGCGTCTGGCATTCCCTTAAGTTCATTAAACATTCATGGGGAAGGGTTTCACTTTACAGTCATTTAACAAGATGTGAAACACCTAGTCCAGTGAAGCAGCATCATACTCTGGAAACACTCCACTCAGAGGCTGCAGAACTAGACCTGGCAATGCCTCACAAGCACCTAGCACCTTACCATCATTTACAAAATGAAGTATTTGTGACTCAGAGAGATGAACTGACCTCATTTAACTGTGTCCTGGAGAAGAGAGAGGGAGAGAGAGAGAGAGCGTGCAAGCAAGCTGGGGCTAGCATTATAATCTCTAGACTGGCCAAGGGAGTGACACTTCTCAGCCTGATTCAGGGATCAGAAAGAGAAGTCATTAAAAGAGAGATGATCCAGTCCTCTCTCCTAAAATCAAGAGAAAATATATGTAAGTGAAAAGTTAGGGACTAAAATTATATACCCCTTCCCACCTTTTTTTCAATAACCATCTTAGGAAAGATAGTTTATATGGGAGGAACATTCAGTGAGGAAGAATTGGAAGATAATATTTGCATCCATAAGGAGAATAAAAAGAATTTAATGCCTAACACAGCCTTGATAATTGGTAGAGAGAGGCATCCATTTATTCTGTAATACTTATTGAACACTTCTCTATGCTGTGCACTGAATGAAGAGCTTGAAAAATACAAACAGAAGAGATGGATCGTGGCCTCAAGGAGCTCACAGGATAGTGGTAGAAACAAGAGCGTAAGCATACACAGCAGTTTTTCTATGATGTAGACACATTAAGTGAATGTGCTATTAGAGAATGGAAAAGGACATCCGGAATTGTCTGGGGGAATAATAAATCCTGCCCAAAATATGTGACATAGGAACAGAGTCTTGGGAGTGAGTTGAAGTTCATCAGATAGTTTGAAGGGGGTTGGTCAGAAGAAGTAATTCTTTATAGCATGAATCAAAGTTAACTTTGAATAGTTCTAGTCTAAAACCTGATGTCTTGTTTTAAATATCA